GTTGCTAACATACCTGAAGAAACCCTTCTTGTTACTCTTCACATCTCTTGCTAACTGTGCATAGAACTGTACCCTGGATGCATCTCTGCAGGACTCCACTCGATATGCCCTTTCAGTTCATTTGTGAACCCTTGATAATTACTCTCCGAGTATGGTTTTCCAGCCAGTTGTGCACCCACCTTATAGTAGGTTCATCTAGGCCAGCAGTTTTCAACCATTTTTCATTTACGGACCCCTAAAAAATTTCAAATGGAAGTATGGCCCCTCTGGAAATCTTAGGTATAGTTTGCAGCCCTCCAGGGGTCCACAGACCACAGGTTGAAAACCACTGATCTCTATATTTCTCTAGTTTGTTTATAAGAATGCTATGTGAGACAGTATCAAAAGCCTTACTAAAGTCTAAGTACATCATATCTGCTGCTTCCCACCATCCACAAGGCTTGTTACCCTGTCAAAGATGGACAATAGGTTGGTTTGACATGATTTGTTCTTGAAAAATCCATGTTGACTGTTTTTATCATCTTATTATCTAGGTGTTTACAAACTGATTGATTGACTATTTTCCCCATTATTTTTCTGGGTATTGAAGTTAAACTTAATGGTCTAGAATTCCCCGGGTTGTCCTTATTCCCCTTTTTATAGAGAGATACTATATTTGCCCTTTTCCAGTCCTCCAGGATCTCTCCTGTTTTCCACAAATTCTCAAAGATAATTGCTAATGGCTCAGAGAACTCTTCAACCAGTTCCTTAGATATTCTAGGATGTATTTCATCAGGCCTTACTGACCTGAAGGCATCTACCTTTGTCTAAATAATTCTTAACATGTCAATTTCCTACTTTAGCTTCACATCCTACTCCATTTATGTTCACTATGTTAGGCGTCTGAACACTGCTAACTTTTTTGGTGAAAACAAACGAAAAAGGCATTTAACATTTTGGCCATTGTTGCATTTTCTGTCGTCTTTCACTCCTCATTTAGTAATAGCTTATCCTGTCCCTGGTCTTCCTCTTGCTTCTCGTTACCCTTTATATCTCTAGCTAGGTTACCCTCTTTTTGTGCCTTGGCCTTTCTAATTTTGCCCCTACATGTTTGGGTTTTTATTTATTTATTTTACACACGCCCACACACCCTTTGTAGTTTGACTTACTTTCCACTTCTTGTACAACTCTTCTCTGAGCTTTAAATTTCAGGTCATTGAAGATCTCCTGGTTAAGCCAGCCTGGCTTCTTACCATACTTCCTATCTTTCCTACGCATTGGGGCAGTTTGCTCTCATGCCCTTAGTAATATCTCTTTAGGCAGATTTTATTCTCCTGAACTCTTTTTTTCCCCCCTCAGACTTGCTTCCCACAAATCTTACCTACCGATTCTCTGAATTTGCTAAACTTTCTCTTCTTGAAGTCCATTGTCTTTATTCTGCTGTTTTTCCTCCTACCATTCTGTAGAATCATGAAATCATCATGGAATGATGAGTTTCACCCAGCCTGCCTTCCACCTTCAAATTCTCAACTAGTTCCTCTCTATTTGTCAGAATCAAATCCAGAAGAGCCTCTCTCCTAATCGCTTTCTCTACCTTCTGTAATAAAAAAGTTGTCCCAATATATTCCAAGAACTTGTTGGATAGTCTATGCCCTGTTATATTATTTTCCCCAAAAGATGTCTGGGTAGTTGGAGTCTTCCATCACACCAAGTCCTGTGTTTTGGATGATTCTGTTATAATTTTGATGATCTTCACCTAGTGTAAGTTGTCACAGATCCATTCACTACAATGCAGTTATGCCTATTTGCACCAGCTAATAATTGGGCACCAGAGATCTGCCAAACAAGTTTAACAATTGAAATAAATCTACATTCATCTAAATCTGAGTCAAAATAAGATTTTAATCATCTGAATTTGTTTTCATTTTTGGTCTCTCATATACACAATAGAATCTCCTACCAGATCACAGATGACAAAACAAACAAGCTTTTTAAAAAAGGGGGAAGAGGGGAAATGACAACCCTGGTTACTTTCCTTAAGACTTTTTTCATCACTTTAGATAAAAAGAAAGAGGTTAGCTGGGGGATTTCCCATGGCTTCCATGCACATTAGTCATCAAAACTGTTAGGAAACTGAATATATTAGCTAACCCAATAGGACTGAAATAGAATATACATAAGTAACTTTTAGCTACATAACTAGTCTCTCTAAAATACTGTACTAAGGACTGAGATTTAGACAAGCAATACATACATTTTAATTCCTCTGCTTATTTTTAAAACTTTCACTTAGCATACCAGTAATAAAAAAATCATTTTTTCTTTCCCTTTCAGGCACCGAACTAATACTGTTATTAAAAACAAAGTGCTTGATATATACTAATCAATAGCAGCTTGATAATATAAAACTCATTAAAAACCATGGAATATACACTGTAACATTGCTAATGGGTTTGGCCATCTGAATACATTTATTTTCGTTTGACAGAAAGGCAGAAGGCACGTTTTATGTGGAAGTAGAATTGTGCTTCTGTAAGTTTACAACAATGACAGAAAACCATATGCTAATTGAAACTCAGCTGGATAACAAACCAAAGATTACAAACATCAGAAATTACCTCAAGCAGTTATTGAGACTCCATTCAAAATTACATTTGATTATAACTTTGAACGCTGCATTTCATGGAGCAATGATGTGTCATTTTGTGGAAAACCAATACACACACATGCTCTTTCTATGCTAAAATGTCTTTGCATTCTGGTAATGAAATGGTGCCATGTGTTTGGCAGTATTTAATAGTCAAATAGTAACTGATTAATAGTACCTTATTTCTTAATAGATTATGCATGAACTAAAGCAACAATACACTGCACCTTCATATGCATTAAAACAGATTTCCACTAGACTGATATAAAAACATATCCAATTTTTGCAAATGTTTACTAATTGTAATTAAGGCATATTACTGAGAAGGTTTATTAAGTCAGGCATCTCCATATGCATTCATATGTCTGGATTTTCAGAGGTGTTGTAAACCCACCGCTCCCACTGACATCAGTGAAATTTGTCCCCCCTCTCCACCTCTGAAAAGCAGGTTCCTTTTATGAAGGTGTGTAAATATGTAAATGGCTAATGTCAAGCATCCACATTGGTATTTTTCAGTCTAAACTACTAAAATGCATATTTTATTAATCTTTTAAAAAAGTCTTACCATTTTGCAATGCTGTATTTTTAAGAAAAATACTTTTTAATAAAGGCAACTTGTCAAAGTATACAATTCTTGCTTTCAATCTATGACAATGTTCTGGGGCTTAGGTTCCAAATCCTTAAGCCCATTGAAATCCACAGATGTTTTGTCCTTCCCTTCCATGTGGCAGCAAGTCTGTAGTCCCTCATATTGAAAAAAAATGTCCTGCAATACTCAATTCAAAAGATGACATTTTTGCACATCTGTCCAGGGATCAATACTACTCCCACTAAAGTCAGTGGGAGGTTTTGTCCCTTAATGTTTCAGGCATAATACATATCTACAAGGGAAGACTAACTGTGGCTTTTAATTGAATGGTAGTGAGCAATCTTCACCTTTAACACTGAAATACTCCAAATTACCATGCATTAGTTTTCAACCTACACAGCAGCTAACATTTTAAGATAATTGCTGTACAGATTATTCACAGTTTAAGAACAGGGCTTTCAAATTAAAAGCAGTGGAATAACATGTCTTAAACCCAATAGAGAATCTGCTACATTTAAGAATATCATTTGCCAGTGAATGGTTAACACATTAACCATAACAACCCCTCCCCATCATTTTTATATTGAACACTGTGTGTTTAAAAACAAGGGTTTGTACTTGTATATCCCTATCAACAAGTAAATTCTATAATACACACACTTATAAATACACACAGATATTGAGACACATTCAGAAAGTTTTAAGCACACAGAATACAAGCTATACATCATATAAATGATGAAGTCAGAGAGAATCACATACACTGGTTAAATATGAAAGCAAATTTCCAAAGATTAGACCAGCTTGCCTTGACTATCACTGATAACCGTAGCATAACTAAAGCATATATGTGATTTTCCTTCTGCTTTTTAAAATTACAGAATTTCACAACCAAAAGTGTTTATTTATCCTATGACAGTAAATTTAATCAACCTTTATCCTGTTGCCTGGGAGTAATGCTATAGAGAAAGTAAGGGCAAGAAATTAATACTACTTAGCTTTTAGAGAAGCTAAAGTTTCTAAAAAGATGTGTGAAAATTGGTAAGTCATTATAAGCCATACAAATAATCAGTTCCAATTATTTAAACAGGGTAAAGTAAGATTTATAATTTAATACTAAACCAGTTTTATGTATTGCATTATTTCTCACAGTTGATTAAAAATGTAGGAACTACACTTAAAATGATAATCATTTCAGTTATGTCCTCTGAAAAATGGCACATCAATAAATTAAAATCTTTATTAAATATAAAGATTTTCATAGTCAATGATATCAGATTGCCTTCATTTATTAAATTAGAGAAAGGTATGAACAACTATCAGAGGGCGTCATTTATAAATCATTTTTAGAATATGCAATCAAAGTGACAAGTTTTTCCAACTCCCCGAATCAGTTACCTTTCCAAATGCACCTTTATTGTTAAATATATTAAAAGATTCCATCCATTTTTGTCAGTATGGAATTGCAATTATATTAGCAGTATTTGAATGATTATTTTAAGGAGGCTGAAACACACAAATGAATTATTTTAAAAAAGTTGTCCTCATCCTCTTGAGGAAAGTTAAATCTTATTGAAATATTATATTGGTAGGACTTTAAAGCATGTGATCTTGAAATGTAGTTTAGCAACTGATCTAATGAAGGATGATACAGATACAATGATACATACCCAAAACCATTCAGTAACTATTTATTTAGGCTGTGTTCTTCCTGACCATATAGCATCCATCACTCCTGGCAAATCTATTAATGATTTTCCTACTTTCCAACATTTCATAAGGAAACACTGAGAAAGTAACTTTTTACAGTGTGTTCTAACTCAATGACCATAGAGAGCATGTACACACGCTAAATACTGTTATTGAAAACAAAGTACCCGGTACTTGATACATACTAATCAATAGCAGCTTGGCAGCTGTTTTCAACGGATTACTGTATACAAACACACATCTGGCTTTAAAGTTTACCCTCCAAAGGCAAAGGTGCAGCGTAAAGGAACATGACTAAACTTTGCCAACCTTTTGGGAACATTTAACAAAAAGAGCATACCACTAATTTGTGTAGCTGTAATGTAGTGAAAGTTTCTTGTATTTGGAGAGAGATGGGGAGGGTACAAATTACTCCCCCTCGACTATCAATGAGAGCAGGAGCTGTAAGTGAGCTAAATGTAAGGCAGCTCCCATGAAGAGTGAAACTCCCGCTTAGGAAGACCTGTGTGTGTGTGTGTGTGTGCACGCGTGTATGGGCATATCAGACACACACACCCTTCACAGTAGCAGAGGACAGCTCATCTGAAAGAGACAACGAGTAGCGGCCGGTTTCCCACCGGAACTTTTTATGATGATTTCCGAACAACAATCACCCTGCACCTAAGCGATCCCGCGCCACGCTTTGCCGCAACTGCACAACCCTTAGCGGGCAGTCCGCTCCCGGTGTCCCCGTTTGCACTGCAGCTCCACGCACCGACTGCAAAGGCAGCGCGACCCCAGCAAACTCTCCTACATCTCGTCCACCGACTCCCCCACGCTTAGCTGCCCTTAGCCTCGCGCAACTCACAAACGCGTCCTCCCATGCCCAGAAGTTAAAGCCCCTTAGAAGCCGCCGGGGAAATAGGCGGGCAGACAGACTGGTGCGCCCGAGACAGGATCGCTCACAGCTGCCCGGTTAAGGGGAGGCGGCGAGGGACCCAGAGTGGCTCTCGGGACTGGGTGGGGTGAGCCCGCAGGCGAAGGAGGGAGAGGAGAGGAGAGAAAGAGACCGCCGTGTACTTGCCCAGGTAGGGACGAGGAGACTGGCCGGGCGCTCAAGCCGTGCTGGAGGCGGCTGCTTCCCCGCCACGTTCATTTCCTCCCATGCAGCTGGATTATTCCTCTCTGAACGGCGAGCGCAGCAGGGCTTGGACCAGGCATTGACTCCCGCCCCGCCCCCGGCAGCCGCGTCCCAGCTCCGCGGGCGGTGTCGGCGGCTCCCAGAGCAGGAGGAGAAGCCGGGCGCCGCCCGGAGAGCGGGGCTCGCCCTCGGGCTGAGCAGCCGGCTGGCCCTGGGCGTAGCTAGCCCCTCGGCTCTCCGCCGACGGGGCGTCCCACACGCCCTCTTTAACTTCACCCCTCCGCCGGCTACTCCCCGTCCTCTGGGCAGGTTCCCCGGGCGAGCGCTTCCCCGCCGGGCACGGGCTCGGACTCCCCTCCTTACCCAGCCCTGCTGCACCGGGCTGGCAGCATCGGAGGCTTTTCCCCTGGCTCCGCAGGCGAGGGGGCTACACACGGGTATGCTTGACTATGGGGGGAAACGTGTCCCCCTGCCCTGCATTCACCCTCAATCAGGCCCCTGATGCCAGGGGAAAGGCGGGGGCTGCTGCCTCTGACAGGTTCTTCTGCAGCCCCAGGAGCCGCTTTCAGAGGGTCCCGCCAGTTGGGGCTCCCTGAGCCGCCACTTGCCAAGCCCAGCTGCTCAGCAGCTCCCCTGGTGACATCCCGCGGCATTGCACGGGGCGGAGAGTAGTTCTAGCTCCTCCCGCCTGCTTTCCTGCCAGGAGTAATTTACATCAAGCTGGCAATAGGCCTCAATAACCCAGGCATCAGCCCCTCCGTTTCCAGCCCCCTTCCAAAAAAAACCCCCACACACTTCCTGTGGCTTGAGGGCTGTCAGCTGCAGGACTGTTCTCCCTGGGATATGCCTCTCCCAGTCCCTCCCTTTAACAGAAAAACTCCAACCCTTCCCTTGCTCAAAGTGGGTCCAAGCAAGGGGCTAGGGCAGGGGTGGGCAATCTTTTTGGCCCAAGAGCCACATCAGGGAATAGAAATTGTATGGTGGGCCATGAATGCTCACAAAATTGGGGTTCGGGTGTGGGAGGAGGTGCACGCTCTGGGGTGGGGCTGGGGATGAGGAGTTCAGGGTGTAGGAGTGTGCTCTGGGCTGGGACCGAGGGGTTAGGAGCGTGGGAGGGGGATCAGGGCTGAGGCAGGGGTGCAGGTTCCGGGTGCAGGTGCAGGCTCCAGGGTGGAGCTGGGGGTGAGAGATTTGGAGTGCAGGAGGATGCTCTGGCCTGGGTTCAAGGTGTTTGGAGAGCGGGAGCAGGATCAGGGCTGGGATAGGGGGTTGGGGTGTGGGGAAAGGTGCAGGCTCTGAGTGGTGTTTACCTCAAGCAGCCAGGAACCACGGCCAATGGGAGCTGCAGGGGCAGCGCCTGTGGATGGGGCAGCATGCAGAGCTGCCTGGCCACACCTCCACATAGGAGACATAGGGGGGACATGCCGCTGCTTGAGGTAAATGCCACACGGAGCCTGCACTCCTGAACCCCTTCCACACCCCAGCCCCCAGCCCTGATCCCCCTCCAACCCTCTGAACCCCTCAATCCCAGTGCAAAGCACCCTCCTGAACCCCCAACCCCTCATTCCCAAGACCGCACTCCCAGCTGGAGCCCCCACTCTCCCCACACACCCCAACCCGCTGCCCCAGCCTGGACCCCCCTCCTGCACCCTGAACTCCTAATTTCTGGCTCCACCCCAGAGCCCACACCCCCAGCTGGAGCCCTCACCCCCTCCCGCATCCCAACCCCCAATTTTCTGAGCATTCATGGCTCACCATACAATTTCCATACCCAGATGTGACCCTCAGGCCAAAAAGTTTGCCCACCCATGAAGTAAAAGGACTCTGGGGTACTCAAGATGGGAGCACTGGCACATACAGTGGGGGAGAGGGTACAGAAGATGACTAGGGACTTCACTGCCCAGCCCCAGTACCCGAGGTGTAAGTGCAAAAGCTTCCCCTTTTCTCTGGCAGTCCCCAACCCATTAATTTAAACGGGTAGCTCTATTGGCAGACACACCTTTACTTTCCAAAGCAATGCAGTGAGGTGGTTACATTTCTTGGAGGGCCACTGTAAAATTGTCTCTGAAATAAGTGCTGCCTCTGCTATAGGGCGATCCTGGACACAAATGCCCCCCGTTAGTTTCAGCCGAACAGTGCTGTGCTTTACACAAATTGACCTAGTCGCGCCCTGATAGCGCCTCCATTGAAAAAAGCAAAATACACCAACCAGTGTGTGGCACTGCTCTCCTTAACTATCCTTTCTCCTGGCCAAGCACTGCTTCTTGTGCATCTCAACCTGCAGCCTTCCCTCGGTGTGTGCTAACCCTATGGACCCTCTGCTTAACATTACAGGGAATTTAAGCAACAACAAAAAAGCCACAGATGAATAGCAGCCTCTTTGGACATTGACTGCTCCAGGCGACTCCAAGTGCTGGGAAATCTGAGGAGGCAACAAATCTGGGAGGCACCTGCTGCTTGTTGCCGTCTTGAGTGGCTGCTGGGCTCCACAGATTGCAGTTCCCATGTACAGAGCTGGAGGGAACGTGCCAGTGGGTGGTGTAGTGAGGTGTTTGTGGTACATAGGAAAGAGTTTGTTTGTACTATGAAGGAGGATACAGCACACACAAGTGAAACTCTTCTGTGGGTCCTTGTAGATGCAGAAGTATCAAGCATGGGGACCTATAATAAACTTTTCTACAACTTTTTACCTGTAAATGGAGGCACACTAACTTATTTCCCTTTTGGCCTCCTGAGTTAATAGCATGGCTATTGTCCATGCTGTACCTGAAGTCTCCTTACTACCCTCCCATCTTTCTCTTCATGCTATTTCATTATTCCATATTTTGTATAAGTAATGTGTTTAACTAAGAAGTAAAAAATGGAAATGCCAATAAAATGTAAATAGAAAAATAAAGGTCATATTAAATTACATTATAATATAAGGGACTGAAATAGAAAATGTCTTAAGAAGATAAGTAGAATATGCAGTAGTTAATTTTCCAAATGTTTCCATTTGTCTATACCATTTACTTTTTAATTAGAATGTCTTTGTCAATTGGCCAGTCCAAATAAATCAGCCACTCAAAAAACAATATATATTTTCCTAGGACTCTTATCTTCCTAATTAAGTTATTTTAATTAAATTATTTATACAATTCAGTGAAAATTGCATAACATTTTTTGAATAGCTAAGAACTGATGACATTTACTGTGTTCAGATTTGACGGATAAATTTCACAAAATTATATTCTACTGTATTGCTGTGCTGAAAATAGGTGGTTATATTTGATGTTGGGGGAAAATTCGGAAGAAATAAAAGATTTGTGCAGTGAGAAATTAGAGGTAAGTACATTTGCAATGTGCAAGGGTTTACAAAACTCCCAAAGTATTATGGAGGTCTGCAAAATTAATTTGAATTCACACAGCTATTTATTTTTAAAAGGCGATCAATTTTAAGAACTCCTAGCTAAGGGAAGCCTGTATTATGTATTAGAGTAGAACACTCCCACCCTGCCTGGGGCTGCCACCTGTCTGGTTTTTACCTGGGCAGTCTGATTTTTGGTTCTGTGTTCAGGTGCCATTTTGGGTTGCAAGGTGCCTTGTTTTTGGGGACCTGGCAACCCTAAATTGCACCCAAACCAAAAGTTTGGTTACCGCGGGATGGGTAAAGGCACTGGGTCATTAACCCACACCAGCTGGGGCTACCTCCTACCTGCAGGCAGGCTCCTTGAGATGATACAGCAAGTGATGTGGGGAGGGGGAAAGAGGAGCGAGTAATGGGGGCGGGGCTTTGAGGAAAGAGGTGGGGCTTTGGAGAAGAGGCAGAGCAGGGTTGGAGACTCGGGGGAGTCCAGTTAGCAGCAATTACAAATGTGGCAACCCAGTCCCCACCCCCTTCTGAAATTTAGGCTCACAGAAATGTCAGACCTGCAGGTAAAATCCTGTACAGTAACTTCTCACTTAACGTTGTAGTTATGTTCCTGAAAAATGCTACTTTAAGCAAAATGATGTTAAGCGAATCCAATTTCCCCATAAGAATTAATGTAAATAGGGGAGGTTAAGTTCCAGGGAATTTTTTTCTCCGGACAAAAGACTACATTTTATATATATATACATATGCACACATATACACAGTATAAGTTTTAAACAAACAATTTGATATTGTACACAGCAATGATGATTGTGAAGCTTGGTTGAGGTGGTGGAGTCTGAGGGTGGGATATTTCCCAGGGAATGCCTTACTGCTAAAGGATGAACTAGCACTCAGCTGAGCCCTCAAGGGTTAATACATTGTTGTTAATGTAGCCTCACACTCTACAAAGCAGCACGAATGGAAGGAGTGGAGACAGCATAGCAGAGGGAGACAGAGACTGTGTGTGTGTGAGAGAGAGAGAGAGGGAGAGAGACACACGCATATTGCCCCTTTAAGGACGCTGAGACCACTCTAAGTACACTGCCCTTTTAAGTAGATCAGCAAGTTGAGACAGCAGCTGCTCCAAGCAAGCTCCCTATGTCCTGAGCCCTGTCGTGTCCCTCCCCTGCTCTATGGAGATGGGGTAAGCGTGGGGCAGGGGGGAGGGGGATACCCTGACATTAGCACCTTTCTTCAACCCCCACCCCCACACAGCAAGCAGGAGACTCCCAGGAGCAGCTCCAAGGCAGAGGGCAGGAGTAGCACAAGGCAGTGTGTGTGGGGGGGACGGGACAGCTGAACTTCCCAGCAATTGATAGCCTGTTGGGCGGCTGCTGCACAGGGAACTTAAAGGAGTGGGGAGCTGAGTAGGGGGGGGCTGCCAATCCACCCTAGTTCCAAGCCCCCCCATCAGCTCTCCTGAAGCACACTAACACTTATTTAAAATATTGAAACCAAGTGCAGTGTTATATTGGTATTTTAGTGTTGCCAATATGAGATTTTGGGGGGGGGGGAGTCCCATTATATTCAATATTTCTTAAAGTCTCAGCTCTTGGAGTCAGGTGAATACCTGAGTCTAATCTTTCATTTGAAAAAAACAACAACAAATGTATAGGCCTCATGGTTGTATAGTAAACCTTGAGAATATAGCCTAAAAAATCAGAAGGCAAGTAAAAGGAATCACAAGTTGGTTATTTTTAAAATCTCATGAGTTTGAATGCTTGAGGATGGCACTAGTAGACTTTTTCTTGTAACGTTGTCTTCACTGAAAATGAATCAGGAAATACTTTCAGAAGTATAATGTCTGAACAAAATCTGTATTTATGGAAACAGAAGTGGATTCTTGATTAAAGAGTGCACTGTGTAGCAGGTCTGTCTATATTCTCTATCGCCCCAAATTCCATGAACACAAAAACACATGTACATTTCACTGGCAGAACAGATTCTGAACATCTTTCCCACTATAATTATACAAAATGTATTTACTTAGGCAAATAGATGCCAAGGTTAAAGGATTTTAAAAGAAAAGTATCTGCAATATAGTAATTAGGTTTTCCAGGAAACATTGATTTGCTCCATTCAGACACTGCTAACATGTCTATGTCTAACCAAAAATATTCAAGCTGTTATTGAAATCAGGTTATCTTAGAACGAACTGAAACTTTATTAGATGTCATTTTTCTTTTTTATACCTTATTATCTGTAGTAGTCATCAAAACTCTAAACTTTTATATGTAATCTAACTGCTTTCTTTAAATACTATTTTTAATATTCTCGTTTAAACAAAACATCATTTACTTTGGCAGTAATCTTGTGTTGCTGATGAGGATCAGTGGCATTATGTGAGAGCAGACCATTGTGGATTCCTCCAGGGAATAAAGAAATATCACCTGGATGGCTTGATCCTCTAAATCACAATAGTACGTTGAGTATACATGATAAAAACAAGGTAAGAATGACAAGCAGCCCAGGGAAACTGGATCCCGCATTAGTGAGAATGCCACTTTCAGCCATCTATTTACTCATGTAACCAAGACTGATGGGGGTGGGAGAAGAGCAGAGGGGAGGGACAGAAAGTGTAAAAGAGGGGCCCTGCAGCTCAGTTGCAGAGGAGCTGGGAGACAGATCTGTCCCACCCATTGCTGAACCCCATGCCCGAGGACAAGCTTCGCAGCACCAAGGACTCAGAAGGACTGTCAGGTCAGCCAACTGACGGGAGCATGGAGTTGCTACTGGGACTGCCACTGGCCATGTACTCTGGGGAGATGGAGGGCCCCACATTTCTTTTTATATATTCTTGAGAAAGGAAGTGGGCATATATGAGACCTGTCATGCTTTCTTGTACTGTTTTCAATAATGCAGAGCCCACACAACTAAAGGAGATGGAGTCAATTCCCTTTTGTTCATCATCGACAGAATTACTTAAGCACAACATAATTTTACTCATGTGACTAAAGATAGGCAGGAGCTTAAGTGTCTGCAGGATTGAGGTCCTGGTCTTCCATGTATCTCTAGTCTTCTCAAATATTTACAGCATGATAATTTTGGCTTTGTAGCCAAATCAGATAAAGAGCATTTGGTTGATCAACCAATATTAAAAGAGGTTGTTTGTCATTGCTCATTTTAGTCAAATCATTTAGCTCTGCAATTTAGATCTGCAATTTTGTGGCACTCATAGGCTCTACATGATTTAGGTGCAAAGATGCTTATTTTCTTCAGATTTTTGTTTTTCATAACATTTAGAAAATGTAATAAAAATTAAATTTATAGTTAATATTTTTTTAAAAGTCAAGAAATGCAAATTTAACTCCCCTGCAGCATGTCATATATATATTTAATAAACCATAATATGTATTAATTATACAGGAGCATGTTAACTATGTTTTAGCATTTGGACTAAGAATATTTATACAATATTTAAAAAATAATTCACAATGTGAGGTTCACTTCTCACTCATTACTTTGTTGTGCTTTTCAGCATAGCTTCCTGCCTTTTCTCTACTTCCTGTAGGCTCTCCTAAATAAAGTGCTTGCCTTTAACTTTAGACTTAATTTTCTAAATAATCAACTGTATGTTTACCTACCGTATTTTCTTAAACTTTTAACAATATTGTTGCCCCTTTTTGACCAGAACAACTACTAGTCAAAGTTCAGGGCCCTGGGATGCTCCAGTTGGAAGCAGAAATTGATGGAGTCTGATATTTTCTTTAATGTAGTCTTGTTTATTTACAAGGAATGTGCGAAGTCCTGTGTCTCCAAACACAAAGGGAACCAACAACAAAGGAGTAGTTTCTTAGATTACAATCTCTCTCTCTCTAGCTTTCTCCAGTGCTCACAGGCTTCTGCTTGGCTCTCTTGCTTTCCCCATCTGTCTCTGTTCTTGTCTGTTCTCAGTTTCTGTGTGTTCTGTCACACACCCATACCCACACACAACTGGTCATAAAACTCAAACCCTACTCACCTGGTGCTAGTTTCTGGGCAGATTCTGTTAGACTTTGTTTTAGATATTGCCCCTTAACAGTGTTTTACAGACATTTTAAATGGGGGATTTGCTTACATGAGTTTGAACAAGGTTTTAATTCAACTGATAACGAAGTTTCACTCAGCTCATAACTATATTTATATTGCCTTAGTGCTTAGTCACTTCTCGTTTCTCTGTACTTCAGCAGTTTTAGAAACATAACTAGGCTGAATTTATAGCCAAAGAAGCACTGTTTCCACAGTTTATATTAATTCCTTTGACTTTTACCAGTAGTGTTATTCAAACAATATAAAACATAATGAGAACTGGGTTTGGCCTATT